ATAGATAGATAGATAGATAGATAGATAGATAGATAGATAGATAGATATAACAAACGATAGATAGATATAACAAACGGTTACTAAACCCACTGAGCATGAGCGCGCGTAGGAATCCACTCTTTTTTCATAAATATCATAAGTGACATAGCACATGGCACGTGGTCTATGAATGTCTATGGTTCTATTAGCATCCTGCTTTTGTTTGGGTGTTCCAGTTTCCTTCGGGTGGACCCGGTGGTTGCTCCAACGTGTTGGCCTTGTCGCGCTCCTCGAGGAAGGGCATCTGCCGCTCTTGGTACACTCGTCGGAGTTTTTGAATCTCACGCTCGTACTCCTTGCGGTGCAGGGTGAGTGTGGTCAATGGGTTTCCAAGATCTGCGGGCAACGACCCGGCATTGCTTTGGGTTGTTGGTGGTTTGGAGCCAAGAAGAGATGTGAGAGGTCTAGCGTCTATAGGGGCTGAACTCGGATAATTCTGATGATTTGGGCTCCCCTTTTGGCACAGAATTCTTTCTCCAAAGTCTCCCTGAGGAACAGGAACTTCCCCTAGCCAAGGAACATGTCTGAAGAAGATTCGCGTCTTATACCTGGAACACCCATTCTCCAACATGGGACAAATTCCAACTTCTACACATTGGGACTCCAGGTGCAAGGACTTATGGCTGAAATGGATCGCTTCAACCCGCACGAAACGTCCAGCTGAAACATGAAACAACCCTGTTGTCGTCGGAAAACCAACGAACAGACACCTTCTGTGCTTCCAACATCTGATCATCGAGGCGCTTCAACCTCGCCGGATGTGAATGGACTTGGTGCGGATTGGTGAGAACCCCCAACACGTCCAACAATGATTCCGAACAAGTAAAGAAATAGAACAGGAGTCTGAATGGTTGGTACCTGAGGTCAAGGGACAACTCGATAGAAGGCAACCACCACAGCTCTGACACATGTCTGCCACTCCAAAAAACGCCCTGAAAGCACGAAGCCAGAACAAATTCATGGTTGATAAATCTGAGTAATCCACCATTGCCATGTTTACTGATATGATATACATTGATATACGTACTATATAATATACATGGCTTGCGACTTAGACCCTTAAAAATCTTAAAAACAAGTTTCAACTCCGGCTGTGCGGGTCTCTCTCGGTCTCTCCCAAGAACCGAACGAACCTGTTGCTACTCCAGGGTTCATATATGTGACGTATGGGTGACACGAAAACCAACACGACGACCGAACGCCAGAACCGTGGGGACGCAGATTCAACTGGTCCACCAATAAAAGACTTGACATGTACTACTTGCCACCCAGGCAGCTCTTGCACAATAGGTGCTTCAGAGATCAAGTTCTCAAGCGCCTGAGTTTCGGGCGGTATGCTTCGGTGCTTGGCGGGTCGCGACATGTTGGGGCGCCCTCGATGGAAACGATTTTGGGAAAAGTAGGAAAATGTTAGAACTTCGTCCCTAGTAGCTTCTAGCTACTAGTAGTAAGGCCAGGAGCCTCTAGTAGCGTCTTTGCTCCTAGTAGCGATGCCAGGAGCCCCTAGTAGCTTCTTGTTACTAGTAGCTTCTAGCTACTAGTTGTAAGAAATCCTTGCTCTACAGGTCACCTGGACCTCAGGTCGGGCTTTGAGATGCTTTACTGTAATCTTTCTCCACTGCCGTGGTACACCTGTGACAATCGGAGAATCTCCAGGTCCGATGGGTCAAAAAGCCTCCAGCTGGAGAAGCCTCAAGAGTTTCGGCCTTTTTCTGCCGCGGCAGGCCACATCTCAGTCTGCCCCTATTTCAAGTTGCCTTCCAAAAGGCTGTGGGTCATGGCACCAAATATGCCCTGTTTGACCTAGCTGGTGTCGGTCGTTGGCGTTTTTCAGTGAGGTGTATGAGCAGCGCCGACCGCCGAGAGACGAGCATGGGAGGTTGCATGTTTGCAGAATGATCTCTTGACGGGCGATTGAGTCTGCAACTGGTGATTTAAATTAAGGGATGCTTCAAACGGCTGGCTGTCCATGCAAATTTGACAGAGGCGGCATTGTGGTTAAGAAGCTGTGCATGGCAGCACCGCTTTGCATGCGGCAACTTCCGAGGGCCACTTGGTCAGTGAGTGCTTTTTGGACGCTGGACCTGAAGAGGATGTCAGCATGGACGATGGCACAACCACTTTGCATTTTGGCCATTTGGGGCTAGTGCCTTTTTGCTCAAGGCTGGCGCTAGCAAGGCTTCTGTGAAAGAAGACGTCGCTAATCTTGCCACGCTTGACCTGTTGCCCGGGAAAGCCTCGCAGATCCAAGCAGCGGCTCCTTGAGTGCCCTCCTATAGGTCGGGTTGCTGATAGCTTGCGGCCTTTCATGCACTCATCATCCAACCACATGTGGGTGAAGGCCTCATCCTCCAATTGAAGTTCGGCCAACGTGGCACCAAATGAGGCTTCAATTCGAAGCAAAACCTGACGACCATGGCATGCTATTGTGGCCTCGTACAGTTGAGACCTACCCAGCACTTGAGCCAGGCCAGTTTGGGAGTGCACGATCATCAAAGAACTATAGATTACTTGCTCCTTCTCAGCGGTACAAGAGTTTGATCCATCTACCTTTGGACCATGTCCTGACTTCAATGTCCGTCCATCCACAAATGAAATTGCACTACTGTCTTGATATACTCGCTAGTGACTGCGCAAACCAGCCTCAGCTGCCGCCATCTCTTCCATGCAATGTCTCAAAAGGCCAATGTTAAGCTGGGTTCTGTCTTGCAAATGCTGTTCTTTGGATCCTGGCTAGTGATTTCTTTTTTTGCGGTGATTTTTCGGCTGAGATGTCCTGATTGCTGAGCCAATCACTGAGGCCTCGTGTTATGTCAAGATGAAATGACACAACACCCGACATGAAAAACACATTTGAAGCCAAAGCTGCTGCCAATGCGACGCCAAAGCTGCGCAAACGATGCTTCCTTTGAGCTTTTTCTTCATTTGGATGGGAGACCCCCGAGATCTCGGTTGCCTGGGAGGTCCAAGAAGCTACACGCCTGAAACACAAGCACTGGAGGAGTGACCGAGCCTCCCGACGAAAACAACACCGGACACCGCCACTCAAAAGAACTCCCTGTGGGCTAAACAATGAACACACCAAACTCGCCAAAAACTATAACAGGACGTAACAGGACAACAACAAAACACACATTCCTGGGCTCCTATGTTATGTTTGAGAATATCAGTCTGTCTTGTTTGTGTGAACACATGGCTGCAACTCTTGGGTTTTCGCATGGTTTTCGCATGTCTCGGTCCACCACAATCACACCGGTGGTTCTTCCCCCGTTCGCTTCCAGCCGCATCACAGCCGCAGATTTTTTTCTCAAGCTAAGCCATGGTGGGCAAGCCAAGCATCATGTGCCTGCGGACCAGCGACCAAACATTTTCCCAGTTTTGATGGGTTCCCGGACTGACAGGCGAAGAGTATCAATGAGTCATTGAGGTTGTGATTCAAATAAACATGTTCACACAAACTACAGCGTTGATATAATATTAAATAGTAGTCTATGATAGCTTCAATAGTGTATGAGTATATTAGTCAACACCTGTACTGCACCATCAAGATCATCAAGAAAACAGCACATGATATACAGTTCGCAACTCGGGCATCCATAGCCCACCGGAGTAGCTTGTGGGTATATACTTTCGTTTCCGCCTTCTTAGGGTGGTTGAGGTGGGTTTCCTAAACTCTATGGGTGGGTTTGGGAGTTCCAATCCTAATCCAAACGGATTCATTCAGAAGTTGGAGCGCTCCCCTGCCTGGACAAACTGGAACACGCGCGTCGCCACCGCTGCATCGTCCGGGTTCCTGGCTTTCGCCGTTGCGCCCGTATGCCACATAGACCGTGAAGCAATCTAAAGATTGGTGCACATGACGATTTCAGCTCTGATTGGATGCTCAGGAAAGAAGCAGTGTTGTTCACCGAAGTGTTCCCCTGCGCTGGAGCCCAGCAGTCTACCGTCTGCCGATCGCGTGAAAGGCGAGGTGCGTTCCAAGGAGTTCCAAGTTGATTATGCAGGAGGGGTTTCAGATGGTTTCAGCCTCCACTCGTCTTGTCAACAAGAAATACCGGCTTGAAAGCCCTAGCATGTCTGGATCTTCCAGATTTGCAATACTTTGCAAATTGGACCCAGCTTGTGGGTCGGGTCTTTCAAGGTATGGATGCTGTCGTTCTTTGGCATCTCAAGCAACCATGTGGAAACCTTCTTTGCTTTCATGCTATTAATTACGAGAGATCTCCCAAATGCTTTCCATCTCGAGCGTGATGAGGCAAAAATCGCCCCGAAAAGGGGCCCCATAGGCCGAAACCGTTGAGCGTTCATCTTCGCAACTCATCAAAACCCACAAATCCAGAGCGAAAAACATGTGTCTGAGCGATCTTGCGGTGGCACTAGTGCTCCGTCTGGGCCCTTGCGTTGGCGCTAAGCGTTCCGTCAACATGCTCGCTGATGAGGGTGCCAGCTTGACTCTCTGCGATTGACACTTAAGTTCTAAAGCCTGTGCCCAGCCAGCTTGCCACAAGTTCCCCAGGCTTTTCCCATGGAGCAATTTAGTGGCTCAAGGCTTTTTGACAACTAATATAAGTCTGGCCTCCCTTGCCAATAATAGCTTGTGAGTCGGACTCGGTTTCGTGGAAATGGTGCCTCACTTATGTCCATTGTGGTCTTTTGGCAATGCTGCAAAATGATGTCCCGTTGTCACTTGTCTGTCCATTTGATCACACGCACCACCACAACAACCACCATCACAACCACGACGACCACAAGGACGACGACGACGACGTCGTCGACGACAACGACAACAACCTGCGGTGGCGGCAGCAGCAGCAGTAGCAGCAGCCTTTGATGCAAAACATGTCTATGTGCCCTGAGGCAATGGATACTTAGGGGCAAACAAAACCCTGAAGCAACATGTCCGTGGATGCCTTTTTCCTTGAACTTTCTCAAACATGGCGATGGATCCTGTGTATTACTAGCGATATCTTGCTGGATGCGGGCGCTTGATGCTGTTCGTCCCATTGGCCCATGGGTTGGATTCGGCTCATGCGGCTCATCTTCTACGACACGGTCTGGAAGTCTGAGCCTGCCTTTACCCAAGACCTGTCTGTAAAAAGGATCTAAGCCTCAAATGCTTAAAATGACCAGCTGTGCGCATATGCCTGTATGCTCTTCATCTTGCTGCCACGGCACCATTAACTTTTATTGGAGAAGTCTGTGAGTCACTTCGAAGCACTCACTGCTCGCTCTGATGCCTTTCCGCAATGGTTTCCATGTGTGCTTTGGCAGGCTTTTGAGGTATTGACAAAGGCCCTCTCAGGGTCAGCGAACGTGTTTGAGATCCACGGCAACCAAGGCTGTCTGGGTATATACGAGATAGATTGCCCGACAGATGCTTTTTCACTTCCTTTGCGTGTAGATCATTGGCTAAATACCGGAGTTTCATTTCTGCATCGTAAAAAACATATATATATATAGTTATATATATACAGTATTATATCAGTGATATAGAGAGGTAATGGCTCATTACTGTTACAGTATAATGGTTTTGGGTTCTGAGAACGCCCAGTTCCAAGCCAATGTGAGCGACCAGTACCTCTTGCAACTTATGCCACAGCACTTGGCATCTTCTTCCTTGAAACCAATTGAGAACCCTGTACGATCTATTGCGAACAAAATGAAGCAGTCATCCGGATGTAATGGTATGATTCGATAAATCAATGTTACTAAATTGTATAGTTATGGTCTGAATCGCCCTGAGTAGCCATCCCTTCAGAGATTTCCCCTCCAGATCAAAAAGTCTGGCGGGACCGTGCTGGCTGAACTGGCCGGAAGCACTTGTCTGGATGCCACTGCAGGCGAATCGCCTTCAGGGCCTCCAGGCGTTCAAAGATGGGCTGGTCACCATTCTATTGGCTTAGAATTGCTTAAGACCAGCTGCATACTGTACATCCATGTGCATGCTGACCTGCATTGGTTCATCAAACACCATCTACCATCATCTACATGTTCAAAACACTTTTACATGTTCTTAGGGTTCTTGGGTCACAGTCATCTTTCTCGAAGTAAGGGCCTCAAGTAGTTCAGGTCTGTGAGCCAAATATCCACGAGAGACTAACTTGGGCACCATGAGAGGAAGAACTCCAGTAACACCTACTAGTGATACGGAACCACGGTCTTTACGGCGATTTGGAGCTTCCATAGATTCCTTTCTGAAACAATGCAACTACCCGTTCTACAAACAGTCTATCTGAAGCCGCAGTCAATCCTGACATCCATTTATGTTGATGCAGGAATTCGCGCGGGGTAACGTATTTTACCCCAGAGAAGTACTTTGCCGCCTGATCTGACATGGAACCTGAAAACTACATATAGAGAAACACTTCGACAAGATGTCAGGTTCTATGCGTTTCTATGCTACGTCGCTGGAAGGGTCACTGGAAGGCTTGGGTGTGACTTCCGTTCCAAGAAGGAGACTTGGTTCTGTCTCATGCCATAAATGGTTTGGGCTAATTAGGATCGCCATGGTCGTGGAATTCCTGGATCTAAGGTCCAAGCAGCCCAACACCTATAATAAGCACATCCATACGCACCATACCAAATCGCACAACACCACACCAAAACGACGGGCGCAGGTCACCAAACATCACCCTGTCAGGCTCCAATATGGCCGCCCACCGCAGGCCTTCTTTTGCTTGGAAAAAGGCTGTTCCAGGAGTCCGGCCATTTCCTTCGCCACCTGGCGAACGCGGAAACGCGAATGAAACTCGAGGCGAAGTGAGTCTGACGGGTCCGCGAAGCAGCGGTGTTTTAGGACAGTTTCTGGAAGCCCACGAACCTGTGCCCAACAGCGAAGCCAAGTTTAGTGCCCTGTTGCACCGTCCATGCAACCCGAGCTCTCTGGATCGAGGGTCAAAGGGAACCATGAGTACATGGGCGAAAACACCCAAGGAACTCGATATCCAACTCTCCACCATTCTCCACCTGTTGGATTTGAGTACGGCGTTCCAAGACCCGCGAAAATTCCTGGGGCAAGTGATCCACTTTTCAATATCGGGGCCCGGGTGCTCGCTTGCTGTCTTGGACCTTCGCCTCACCGGCTTCGACCTTCAAGTCTTCTTCGGATGCAGCCGGACCTGAAAAGCCGGCAGAAACGAGGAAAGGATTGAACTCTACCGTCGATCATGTTGATCTAAAGATTAGCCGATTGATCAAAAAGCACTTTTTTTGTGGCCTTGACCTGCCCTTTGAGGCATAGAATCCCAACACATGATCAATGGAAAAGGCCTTTCTTGTGACTCCTGATGTCTGCGACGTCAGTGCGATGGAGTGAATGTTTGCCAACACCTAACTGTATAGCATTGCCACGGGTAGAGGCATGTGAAAAGGAAACGTTTATCTCAAATCAAGATCATCAAGGTTCCTTCACACCAGCTTTCTTCAGTCCTCCGCTCTGCGAATCCTGTTGAGGGATGTCTTTTCTGTTTCAACATACTCTCCAACAGTTCCCCTCTTTAAATTCAACGTTTAACCAACTATTAACCAACTAAGTGTCTTTGATACTTTGATACCCTCTCATTCGTAGAACTCCAAGAGCTGTTCTAACTACATCAACAACGCAGGGCCATGTCACCGCCATGTCACGCGTTTCGCATGCACGGCATACACGAGTCCTGGGCCATGTCCACCCCCCACATGCCGGCTATGACTACTCGAGGGAAGACCACCTCTTAAGCTTGTACCCACCCAATATAGACTCGTGATCAGTGAACCCCCCCATCCATTTGGATTGTACAGCCTCTTCATACGGAGGGTTTAATGAATCAATAGTTATATACACACACATTAATTCCTATACATTACCTGCTGTTACATCGATGGTACTATCGATGGTATATACTTTTGGGCTTCAACTACATCCTCAGAAGGGACTTCGACACACACACACACACAAACCCTACCAAAGCCGAAGCTCAGGCCTCAAGAGGTAGTTGGAGCCTTCGGCATCGAATAGGATCCCATCCCCGGGATCCCACCTTCTCAGTTCACCCACTTCATATCTTCACCTCTCCCCCCCACCCACCTCGCAGTGGATTCGCCGCTCAGATGGACCAAGGAGGACTAACTAAGATCTACGAAGCACCTGCCCAGGGTTCTCTCGAAACTCTTCAATTCCGCCCAAATCTGCCGGCCCGGCCCGCTTCAAATGGAGCCGGCCTTGAAATCGCGAGCGCGAGAAAGGCTGAAGTGACCAATTCACAGGTCGTTTCTTCCATACAACCTCAGGGTAAGGCTATTCCAAACTGTTCACCATACTAGCAAGGAGACTATGGGAATTTGCGTGGTCGCTCCCAGTTCGGTTCCCTGTTTCATGGGGAAGATGGATACTGGTTACCCCCCTGGTAGCTCCTCGGAGACGGCAAATGATCTTCTGCGAGTCTAGGATGGAAAGAGTAGATGTTCAAATGGAAAGTGGCCGGCTGTCATTTTCATCATGTTCTTAGACAAACTCTGTTGGCCCCAGCCAGCCTTGTTCCAATTCAGAACAACGACGACGGTGGCTTCATGCATCGACTCCAGCTTCCAACATCGTAAGACGTCACCCAAGCGAATGGATGGCCGTCCCCAAGCGAATTCATGGGGCACATGTAGATCAGATCGCAATCCTGGAGTGTTCTCCCCCATGGAGTTGTTCCACCTTATTTGCATTCATGACCTCCATCCCTCGTGCTGTCCTTTCCGTGGCATCAAGCCCCGTCAGGGTGGTGAAACCTCACCATCCCTGGGGAGACACTTGGCAAAGAAATCCCAACCTGAAGCTCTTTTTGGGCTTTGCCAACCTCGAAGAATAGTATATACCTTCCGTGAAAACTGACATGGACCATGAACACCACTAGTTTGTAGTTATTTGTAGAGGAAAACACTCTTTCAGGGTGTCATTCTCAGGGTCCATGTTAGTTTTCAGGAGTGCAGCAATACAGTCATCATCTTTGGATGTCTTTATAAGAAGCCAAGACTTCTGCAAGTGTGATGCTGTTGCAGAAATACTGCCTTGGCCGATGATTGGTTCTTCTTTTCTTGGATAATCTTTCCATTTGACACGAACACATGGATGTGGCCAATTCAAGACGGAAGTAGACTTTGTCTAAGGATCGCACACACTAGAGGTTTGCAGGTGTCTGCTCGTTTCTGGGTCCAAATCCTGCCTGGGTGGGTCGGGCGGTATGTGCTGCAAAGGAACTTCAGGCTCCTCACTGCTGGCAGCTCGGTGGCTTGGAGAGGAGACATGGCGTTTTTGAACATCGAATGATCCAGCTGGATTAGAATCAGCTGCACAACTTCTGGGAAACTACTACTACTACTGCTGCTGCTACTACTACTACTGCTACTACTGCTGCTACTGCTACTACTGCTACTACTACTACTGCTATCCATCACGGTGGATCACTTGTTAACGAGTTGGACACATCGTAGCAAGGTGCATGACACCGACTCATTTGCCTTCATAACATTTCTCATCAATTCCCCAGCTATATAACCTGTCAGCATCAAGAAAAAACACAACAAAACAGGCACACAAAACGACCTTCTATGACTAAATCAGACTAAATCTAGTTACTAGTTCTGCACCATCAAAAGCATTAAACCAAACGTCAAGGAGTAAAAAGCTTCATAAAACACCCTCACCTCCTTTTTATTGGTTTTCCCTTGGTTTCCTGCTTTTGGCCGGGTGCCAAGCGCCCCCCGTCTCCACACCTTCGGTGGCGGCGCCGGCGCCGGCGCTGGGACTGTTGGGGGCGCAGACGCGGTCGTCTCGTCCACCATCTCAGCCGGCAGACGCGGTGGAGCCTTAGCGTGCACATCTCATGTGGTGTAGCAGTGAAATGGTTAATAGACACCCTCTTAACCTGTAAGAGTCTACGAGCACCCCAGTTAGCACCCCCTTTATAAGGCTTCTGGTATAGGTGGGCACCTGTAGTCCTGGCAGACAGACGTGGTGAAAAAAACACTGAGAGCTGTAGGTTCACCCACTCCTGACCAGTCGACCAAGTCTCACAGGTCTTGCATCGCGAGAGGTGCCCCAATGTTGTTTTTTCTTTTTTACATGGTGTATAGATCATTATAGATTACACTAGGGTTATATTTTAAATGCAGTTATTGTATTTAACTATAAGTATATATAACAACTACAATAGTATTCAATAGTACAATTAATTACATGCATGGTCTAGGATGACCAGTTTAGTCATGTTCTGTGCAGACATGCTCCAGCTCCCCTAGCTTTTGTCTCCAGCCGCAGCGGAGGATCTCCACAAAACAAAGCGCGAAACACCTCACGAGGGCCGAAAGAGCCGCCGCTTTTGCGCTCGCCGAGCCGCAAAGCGCTCGTTGGGCCGGAGCTTCTTCTTCTTCGGCTCAGTGGGTGGTTCACCTCGACGGCTGGCTCGCCCCGACGGATCGTGGGGTCAGTCGACGGATACGTTGAAACAGTTGTCCTGGTATCGATGTATAAAACTCCAGTCTCCAGTCCCCCGTCAGAGGTGAAAGGGAATACCATCCGGAAATATCCGGAAAACGCCGGAAAATGACCAAACAATGAAACCCCAAATCGTGGTCCTGATGCCGAACATGTTCGATTGTGCTCTACATACATGAACGCGTTGTGGGTTTTGGACGTCGCCCACGTAATCACCTCTTCTTGGCAGCCTCGGCAGGTCTCCAGACGTCCAAATGCAAACGCTCCAGTAGACATGAGATTCGGTCAAAACGCTCCAGCTCCCCAGCCGAGTCCCACCGCTCTTTGGAGCATGAAAACGTCGGTTGGGACCGGGGGACCAGTCCCGCCCGAGCGCTTCTTGTGTTCAGGTCGAGTCCAGCGCCATCCAGTCTCCTCCGGAACTGATTTCTACACTTCTACACGAGGAAGAAAAATCCCAGCGCCTCTTCGGCGCCGAGCTGATGGGAAGGTGCGCCAAATCACCTGCAGTCAGAAAACATTCAACAAAACTGGAGGACTTCGCTGAACTTTTGGAAGGTTTCTGGTGGTGCTGAGAGCTCCAGCTAGAGTGGTTCAGCTCCTCAGTTCCTTGCTGGCCAACATCGACGCGACAAACTCCTGTTCTGAACGGACTTTGGGTGATTTCGGGGCTTCCAATTGCACTTGATTGATAGTTCAAGAGACATCAATGAATTGTATGGATTGCCACTCCATTTCCATTGGATGCCAGCGCTTTCCATTGTAAGGTACCAAAACTCCTGAGGATGGCAACTGATCCGTCATCCATCATTCAAAAGAATCCTCATCGTCACCGGCATGTCCATCGTGAAATAACAGCCAACAAGGAAGGAACAAGTCACCAACATCAGCGAGGTAACATAATCAGCAACGAAGCAAGTCACCAAAATCATCCTCACCTCTCACATCGCCTCTTTCTTTCTGACACCTTGTAAGTTTTCATCCTCAAGACCCCACGCCCCGATTCTATCGGCCTCGCGGGACAAAGGCTGGCAAAGCCGCACTTCAGCATCGTGGATGGCCAGGAAGCCCTACGCAGGAGCGAGGGTAAGTCTCTCAAGGCCAGAAAGGTACACTCTGACTGTTAAATGGAAGTGGAAAACTGGCTCTGGTAAGACTAGTGACAGGTGACTGGTTTCCTCATCAAACAGGTGGATTTCTACATTCCATGTTAAAACATGTTAGTCCTGAGTGGTCATGATCTGGGTAGTTAATCCGATCATCATCCCTGGAGAGAACGGGAATACCATCACGTCGAAACGGGCATCCCCGTTTTACCCACCAAAGCCCATGAATAGTGAGCACTTTTCAGCAACTTAAAGCAGGTTAGCCACTGGCGTGAAAACCACTGATCTTACCAGCTTCTTGGATTTGCAAAACTTATGAACCGGAACAAATTAACTTTTTGGCTATCCAGAAACAAAAAAAAAAACATTAAAAACAGAGTCAAGGCCAAGTGTTCCATGTTTCATCATCCAGGTCACCACCTTGCCACCACATGTTGGCTGTGGAAAACCTCCCCCCTCCCACGGCCTGCGAGGCGGCCACCATCGCTGCCTGGTGATTGTCTGAAAGAATGAACTCAGAGATTCTGTAGGGCATGGTCCCCTTCACTGGGGCCAACCTCCCCGCGTAAAAGGGAAAGATTGAAAACGAAGAATTGGAACTCGTTTCATTCTGGTTTGCGTTAAATGATCCCCCTTAGAGGTCTACCAAGCTTTTGGGAACGCATTCCCTGGGTCCGCGAAACCACCTTTGGGACATCCAAATGAAACCCACTAGCAAGAGAAACCAGTCCACTGAGTCCACTCAGTCAAATCACCAGAACTGCCATCCCACCCCCTATAAGAATCACCAAGCACACCAATCAAACACAAGCCAAAAAAAACAGTCCAAAACCACGGCCTCTGCAGCTTTGGCGTTGGCAAAACGAATGCCCACCTGACCCCGATCAGACCGGTGCAACCCGTCCCGGCAGTCGGTCACCGAAGCGTCGTGCCGACTGAAGCTCATCCCGTAGCGAAGGCGTTCAAATGTTGAAGGAAGAATAGCTATTAATATCTATTAATCAAACCTGAAACCACCAAGCTGTACCTTACACCAGCCCGATCCGTTTATAAAAGAAGAGCTCAGGCGCGGAGAAGATTTCAGGTTTTCATATATATATATGTTTAACCTATCTCCAACGCAGCGAGTGGAGATTGATAGCTATCAGGTCGCTATTAGGTTGGAGGCCATTGCTATAGTTTCAAACATCAGAAGTAGCCTCCTAATGATGACAAATATTTTTCAAGCAACTCTTCTGGGGCATCTTGATTGGCAGGACTATACTGTACAACGATCGTTTCTTGAGAATCTCCTAAAAGCGATGTTGAGATGTCGACAAAACGTGCCTGATAAAAGCAAATCGGCACTATCTTTGGCCACAGCTTATCTTTGCATGTGGTACAGAGCATTAAGGTACAATGAACAAATCTCGCACATAGTACTTGCATTCTGCTCTTGTTTTTGTCAGCTTGCTTTCTTGGTGCCAGACCACATCGATGCTCTCTGTGTTTGCTTTCGCCGAGAACCTGCGGGACATGTACATTTTGATCAACACGCTGAAGACCCTGAAGGTGTACCATTCGTCAATGTATGCTCCAATGCTCCGGTTTCGTTTTATGTTACAACGAATCGTCTCTTTCAGTAATCAATCAAAGCAAACAAATAAGAACGAGTCAATTGCCACTCAATCATCCGATTGAAAGGCTAAGGATCATCCTCAATTTGTTTCTATGCTTGATTCGGGTCATTTGACTCCGCATGGATTCGATCCGTTCGACCCACCCTTTGAACGGTGAAGAACCACGCCCATCCGGTCTTCCAAAGAATCCCGCCATGCCAAGCTGCAATGGGGTTGGCCTCACCTGTCGGAACACCTGGACGCAGTTCATCTCCAACTCGCTTTGCAACTTGGGCATTGCACTGCATAATCAAATATATTTATATAAGGCCCAAACATGTGGTCTAAGATGGTCTAAGTACCTTCTGAGGAGGTATTTTGGAAGGTCCGGGTACAGCAACACGAACATGCATAAAATTCCACCATTTGGATTGTAAAACCTCTGCCCGGGATGTTGCATTATTCAAGAGTCTGGCATATGGGATGTTGCCTCTTCCAGTCTCTCTTGGACCCCTTGCGCACATCCAGAACCGGGCCATATCTCCGAAATACCTGGAGCAAGCGTGCGAGAAAAGACTGGGGTGGATCAACGTCGAAGTGCACTTGTGGAGTGATTTCAATGTAGATGGCAAAACAATCCCATTGGAGGTCGTTGGTCTAAACTCCGACCTACAAGTTGTCCACCTTTTATGTACTTGATTTGTATGTTGCAGCTTTTTCCCCGATCAATGATCAATATTCATTTTGCTCCAGACGTGTCCACATGTCCAAGCCAACAAATCTTTAAAAGTCCCAACATGTCCCTCTCTACACACTCCACCGGAATAACAATAAGTCAAAATGGCTCACATCACATAACATTATAGTATATAGTGTGTATCCCATTTCCAGTTATGGTTCGGTTGCAGGCCGACCACATGGTGCCCTACCTCGCTCCGTCCCCAACCGCGTCGATGTACATCGCTCCGGTCGCACCTGTTGTAGCATGACTTTGACCTTGGCAGCCCATGCCTCATCGGAGCCCGGCAACACCTGCAGCTGACCAGCGGCTCGCAGGTTAGGCAGGTTTACACCTGCTGCTGCTGAGCCGTTTATGGGGTCTTGGCCAAGACTTCTTTGTGAAGCGGAGAGTTCAATGTTTTGTTGTTATGTTTTGTGGTGCTGTGAGGGCCGTTTGTGACGTCCAATTGGGTTCAAAGAGGCATAAAAATTAAACAGGCTCAAACACTGGCTAAAAGTCTGGCGAAACGTTTGAAGCTCTTGTAGAGACAAATATGTGTTGACAGGCCAGGAACCCTTGGGCATGGACGTCCAAAGATGGCATCACGCACACACACACACACACTCACACTCACTGAGCTTGGTGGTGTGCGCTGAGCCAGCACCCAATCCTCTGCTGTGAGGAACCTGATCCAAACAGCAGATTTCCTTGAGAACTATAGAGTTGTTTGAGGGGACCTGACCACTGGTGTCATGATCAACTGCACCTGGGCCCTAGTCCCATCCTCCACAGCCGCGGCAAATGTCCGTGGCCGCCTGCTCGACGTCTGCTACCTCGATGAGGCAATCCGAGCGATTCGCGTCACCTCCCCGTGCAATACTCGCCTGGACAGCGAGGACATCTGGTCAACTCAAGTTGGGCCGGACGTGGAAGTAGGAAAGACTCCTGGTTGACTTCAACCTGTACATCAGTGGCAATGATTCATCAGTGGAGATCTCGGGGAGTTGACCTGGACGCCCTTGGTTGGGCCTATCCTTGGTTCTATAGGAAAGCATCCGACTGAAACTTCTTCTGAGCTAGGGCAGGACACTCTACCGACCAGCTTTCTGAATGGCTTGTCACCTCGTCCAGCATTCCAGTCGCAAAAGAGAAAAAGAGAGAGAGAGAGAGAGAGACTCTTGAGTCTTGAGAGTAACCCTAGGGCTCCAACTACCTCCTGAGAAGGTGGTTGGGGTGGGTTTGGGTGCTCTATATAACCACCTTCTGAGGATACGGTTGGAGCCCTGGGGTAAACGTTTCCAACTGGGAGATTTATCAAGATCTGCTAATTAGGATTGCTTTTGTTTGGGCGGCCAATTGCTGGGGGAAACCACCGCCAAGTCTACCTTTTGGTGTCTCCAAACATTTCTAGTACTCCATTGCTGTGGTGACCAAAACTGTATGAAATCTGTTCACTCTTCTTCCATACAAACGATGCGAAACAACGGTTGAGCTCCGCGACGACCCCGCTCGTTCCACCTTGGCGACCACCGCGGCCGCACGTGCTGCCGCCTGGGCGGCAGCGCCTTTCAGGGGGAGCTGGCGGAGCTTGCGGGTTGACTGGGGAAATTAGGGGGGGGCCCAGGTACCGAGACACAGTGGTTTTCATGGGGGAATCGGACATCAGGACGGAACAACATGCGCCTTGTCTTTTTCAGTCCAGTTTAGCCATTGACCGGGCGACAACGGGGCGCCTTTGCGGCCCAAGCCTCGGCTTGCCATGGCCGCTCAAGAAAGGGCTGCATTCCGACTGGCCAATGGCCACTACTCAATCGGATGGTGGTCGCGCGGGTTTTTAGGCCAACCCGCCTTTGGGTGGTGCTCGAAAAATGTCATGTGAGGTCGCACAGAGACTTGGAAGAGTTGAAGATCCAAGCTCTACTTTGAGGAAACATCTTGGCAAGCCTTGAAACAAAAAAACAATGTTTCGGAATATTCTTTTACGAACACCTGCCGGTTCACCATCCCAAAGCAACCAATAGCAACCAATGCCAATGCCCTAACTAGCCAATCAAGCTTTTTTTGGGATGAGGGAACCTTGGTGAGTATAAAGCGTCAAAGTCTTCATAACTGTTGGCTGCCTGCTAGACTGGTTGAACACTACAGTATGATGCGTTTCTACTTATATCGTGAATTAAATGCCTTGAGCAAAAGCAAGATCAGGAGAGGAGTGTCAAAGTCTGTGCGTTGAAGTCCTGAAAGCCACAGCGTCTTCAAAGCAGGTCCTCAAGTCGCAGTAGTCAAAGAGGGCAACATCATCTGAATCCAACGTAGGCAACATCCCAGCAACACTTGTGTCATGAAGACCAAGCCACGACATGACACCAGTGTTCCATTGCTGTTTCTCTTTCTTGATCCATCTCTCTGTGCTCAACTGTCAACCTCCCCCAGCAAGCTTCTGCCTGCTCTCATAGTTCTGCAAATAATAACACAAAGAAATCAACAGAACCCCAGCTTCTTCAAGAGACCTCTTGGGAGCCTAAGAGACCTCAAAGGTAGGGATGAAGTTCGGTCTCTTTGAAGAACCTCATTGAAATGGCACATGATGGGACATGATGGGAGTCACTGCTTGGACATGCGTGTAATTGCTGATGCTATAGTACCAAGCGCATCGCTTTTCTTCCAGAAACTGCGCGGCCAGTTGCGGAGAAACTCACCGTTCGCCTGAGCGAACATGCAGCCGAACAAACAGCGCCTTTGGTGGACCGAAAACAAGATGGCGTCGCCGTGACGACGGAGAAGGCGGAAAACGCTGAGAGAACACCATCGTCCAAAGAGTCCACTCCCCGATGCGCAACAGCAGTGCTTTGTTGATATCGCAGGTGGCGTTCAATGCTTCTGCACCAACAGGGGGTTCCCAGGTTCCCAACGTTCCAGTCCTAACGTTCTCATTGATGGTGCATGAACAAGTCAACCATCAAATGGAGCCTGATTGAAAGCTCGTCTCAAACACCTACGACTCATGGTAGTGAGCTAAACATCACCCAGTGGTGGAGGCTGGGTTGACTCGGTTGATGAAACAATTTGGCGGGTGCAAAATGAGCGGCTGGGCTTGCAAACTTATATAGTACGTTGCTACTAATTTGAGCAGTATTTCTTAGAGACAAATACCATGCTAGAGGATACTAGAGGTAGAGTACACCGGTTTGACGATGAAACACATGCCAGAATTCATGTCATGACCACTGTTGCTGCCTGTGACACGTCACAAGTGATGGTCTCACAACTCTGGTCGAAATGCATCGAAGAAGGGTCAACTGGTTTGGGTCAACTGATTCCATCACAAGGTGTTTGAGTTTTTGAACACCCCGGGTCCGGCCAAAGATGTCCAAGATTGAACCCCGGTGCCGCGAGATTCCCACAAGCTGTCATCTAGTGACTAAATATACAATGGATATTCTTGGGCTGGGAAATAATGAGGGATACCTTAAAGAGGTTCTGTTTTTTCCCGCTGAATCCGAATCCTCATCATCTCATGTCTTTCGGATGAACGAAGACTATGAGCGAGGACCTCCCAGTCAACGATCCCGTCATGTCATCGCCTGAGGTGGAGACCGTTGGAACTCCTCGCGACTTATTGCTTCTGAACTCTCTTTTGCCTGTCCGCTAACTCCTGCAGAGAGGATCGTCACGAGCTCATGATGGGACAATTGAGAGTGGAAATAAGTATATGCTTGGTAAAATTCTTTAGCGTTGAAAACCTGTAGGCTCATGAGTCCAACATCACGTTCTTTGGTTTGGAACACTGCTGGTGAAATTCTTTTGCGTTCCGGACGCCAGACGCTGTTTGTTCCATCTCTTGTGCACCGGTCCGTTGGTCCGTTGAACCACAATCTCCGTGGCCGTGGACACGCGGATTTTCGCGCGTGTGGCCCACGGCTCCAGGGCCAACTTGCTCATCGTGTTCAACACCAAGTCCTCTTTGGGCGCAAAGGCCTCAGGTCGGCGTCGACTGGGACGGGTAGAGACGGTAGACTGGTAGACCAAGGTATAGCAACACAATGATGGCCCAAAATCTGATACATTACAAAAACGACGCCTGTTGGCATATTTTGCCTACAAAATGACCTGCCCATTTTCAAGTCAAAATTGATTTTACTATAAGATGGGATACCGATGCCAGGATCACTGATTTTGTAGTTTAACAGAAATCAAACACGATGCGCCGCAAGACTTGCAAGTTGGTCAGGGTCAGGGATAACAGAAATCAAACACCCTAAAATCCTCGAGGTGGATCAAAGTGGATGACAGTCTCCGGCCTGCAAAGCCCTTTCGGCCTGCCAAAGGACGAACTTCGCACGGCCGCAATTGAACAACAGTTATAGTTAAGTAGTAAGGCCAGGAGCTACTAGTAGCGTCCTCGCTCCTAGTAGTAAGGCCAGGAGCCCCTAGTAGCGTCCTTGTTACTAAATCAATCATTGTTGTGGCCTGAAAATCCCTGAAGCATGGCATATGATCAATCATGATCTGTTTTTTTTCAGCACCTAGTACGGATCAGCTTGGTCCGCATCTTGGTATACACCGGCAGCCGTTCGTTCCTGGGTATCCCCCTTGGTTTCACCTGGGTTCTACCGTTTTTCCGCCCGTTTGGGGGTCGTTTGCGCCTTTTTGAGCATCTGAATGAAATCATCGATGAGCTTGTAGGCTTTCGTGGCATTGAGGCCGTTGTCCTGTTTCGCCCACCGGTGCGGACTCCCCAGTCAGCTCAGTCAGCGGTTCTGGAGGCATTGGCTGAACGGCATTTCGGGTGCCCAAACATGAGAGGAACCAGTTTCTGTAGGCCCCTTTTAGGCCGGACCATTCCCGGCCCAAAGCTTTGGTGGCGGTGTCCTGTTGCTTCTTGGAGACTGTGGCGTTCATGTGTTTTCAAGACTGGGCCGATGCATGACCGGTCCATCATCTCGTACCAGTTAAGCTATATGTATAATCTATCCATCCATCCATCCATCCATCTATCCAAGCACATTCACACAGTCAAGCCCATTATGCTCATGGGACGGGCAATCTGTTGATTTGCTGGGACTTGGTCAAAATCACCTCTTGTGGATCAAAGGAGAGTTACTTCAAAAAGTTACTGATCAACCCCTCGAGTCCTGTTGACTCATTCACGGGCACAGCTCAGGCAGCGAACTCAGCTGCGGGTGGTTAAATGTCCTCCCACAAATATCGTCTCTGCCCATGGATCAGGTAGTCCAAGAGCCAGCTATTTGTCTCCTCACAGAAGGATCATTGGGATGGCTGAGGCTAAAAATCAGTGGGTGGTGGTGTCAAGATGTGTCAACACTTTGTAGTTCGTGTAGTGGTCGAAAACCGTCAACGCCGAGGGAGACGTCAATCTATCACAAGCACCAGTCCCGAGCCCCAAGCAACACGATACGGGTGTGGTTCAAAATTGGAGACCTGCTCCCAGGTGGGTCAACCAAATTGCACTTCTAACCAAATTGCGTTCGCTTCGTGAACAGGCCGATGCACTGCGCATTGTTATCAAATATCTGCAAGGCTTTTGTGAAACGCCGTTGTATCCCAAGTTCCATACATCTGCATCCAATAGTTTAGTCCAAGTTGGTTGGGGACGGACTTATACAGGTGGCTTTCCCTTGCGACCAGAGATTCAAAATTTGGATGAGGTTCAACAAATTATATGCTCAGAACCTGGGAACTAAACCGCCATACAATCCGCTTGGGATTGTGCCCATGCAATTTTGCAAAGCCGTTCTTACTGTTGAACTGGTCGTGGGTCTTGATTACTCTCAATGTTATCACTTCCGGAAAAAACTCAGAGCAGCCTACAACAAAGGCCAGAATCTCGATTCTCTTTATTGCCCGCCAGAGGCACCCAATTAGGTTGTTGAATGATGTTGAATTCGGGTTGTAATTCACTTGAGTCACACTGATTCCAGTGCATTGCCATTTGTATAGTTTTGTGTCTGAAGGGTCATGGGAAGCGCCTCAAACAAAGTCCGCAAGTATCGTTGGTGGGTCAAACAAGGTATCCTGCTGCCATGACCCACAGCCATACCAACCGTTCCGCAAACGAACTCCCCAATTTGTTGCCGAAGGGATTACAACTGCAGTCAATGGATGTTCTGGGCCTCATGTCGACCCAGCTAAACCACGCTAAACCATACTAAACCCGGGGAAGCATCCGACCCGGTGGAAAACGAAGTCCGAAGCAATCTGCCTGACCCGTTGTTCCTCGTTCGAGGCTCGCACACCCAGAGAAAACTTATGAGAAGAAAAGCACGCATTGGTTGGAACTGTGAGGCCTGCCGATTTCAGAACCAAGAAATCTCTCCACCAGCTTTAAGCCAAGCCTTGAGACGGGAGATCCCACACATTCAGAAGATTCATCAGGATGCCTTCCACTTGACCCAGCTCAGGTTGACGGTCATCGCTTCGCTGGGGCCTCCAAGTCGGCTTCAGCCCCTCGAGGTGCATTGGCCGGGCAGGCCACAGTAGGGATGGCTTTCAGGTCCAGATGCAACACGTTCCTGCGTGACCGTGGCGCAAAAGCCCAGCGGCGCTGACCGTGGCGTTGACCGGCGCTTTCTTTGTTTCTGTGGCAGTTGAAATGGACCACCAACCTCCAAACTTTGTTTGCAGTCAGGTGCACAAAACGAGAAGTGTACTTGAAACCACTCAGGTGAAACTCGCCATTCGATAAACATCGTTTGGCTCAAGGTTGCGCGGAGAAAAGGATCCGTGCAGCACCACACGACACACCCAACCTTCCCTAGGTTATGAGCCCAACCTGCTGACGGGTTGTGGCCGGTAGAAGTCCACCCTGATTTTTCAGGTTGTTGGTCCCCATGGAGCAGCATCGAAGACGCAAGCAACAGCGCTCTAGGGAGCGAAAAGAAGAAGCTGCCGCAAAGGAGGCTGTTGTGAAGGAGGCTGCCGCTGCTACACCTCGGCTGGAGGTGGGAGTCGCTGACCGAAAGCTCGACGCCTTGATCGAAGAGGAGCTTCGCTCGAGGGCCAAGTCGGTGCCGGCATCGTCGTCCACGGCAGAAATGAAACGTTTGGGAGCTTCCGCTGCGGAGTTGTTGAGGGCACCGCAAGGACCACCTGTGACCTACCATCCTCAACCTGCACAAGAACAAGTACACCAATTGGTGATGGATCCTAGGGGACAGTCGATGGGTTTGGGGCATCTCCAAGAAGCGGTGCGCCACTCGTTTGAAGTTCTGCAGAACGCACTACGAGGACCTCAACAACAGGGTCCAACTCTACTTGATCCACTCCTTCGCCAAGCTGATCAGGGAGTCCCTCATGTGCACGATCATGGAGGTCCTCCAGGGCATGCGTTGGCGGCTGGAACCCCGGTCAGGGATGGGAGATCCGATCGGGATGGATCTATGGTTTCTCCAATGGTGGGATCGGTGGGCCGCGAAGCTCTCCATCCAAGAACGCTGGATCCCTATGCGGCGGCAACTCCGGTGGGGCCTCTCAGCACTGTGAATCCTTTTTGGAGCACTTCACTTCAACAGGCTGTAAAAGGTGAAGGGCATGTACGTATGGCTGAAAGCAGTGGAAAGAAACCTGCACCTTCCAGTCCCGGAGCTGGCGATGTGGAGAAGATCCGAGCTCAGATCTTGCGGGAGGCGGAGGATAAGTTCGCTCGTGAAGTCAAGAGGTTGACTGATGGTGGAGCACCTGGTGATGCTTCGTCCTATGCCTCGGCCGCGAGCGCTGGTATTGGTGATGGAGGCCGTGCTCTACCTGAACCTCCTGGACTACCTCCTGGTGATCCTGTGGGCGCGGGAGTTCCGCCATGCACCAAACCTGACCTTCCTCCAGGACTTCATGCTGGACGACCTCAAGGTGACTCTACTCAGCCTCCGGTGATTCCGGAAACCGTGAGGAGCTTGGACCTTCCGAGCTTGCCTCATCCCTCAACTGAAGGAGCTGCACTTCAATATGGAGATTGGTTGACTATGACCTATCCGTTGATGGCAGACCTCTCGGCGACTTCTCAGTTGTGGTGGGATGGATGCTTGGCTGCAGCTGGTGAACTCTATGAGAAGTGGCTCACTGCTACTCCTTTGGAGCGCCTTCGCTTGCGCCCTGTGGAGAACATCGACCCTGTCCACCAACGTGTTGAACAGCGTGGTGTATCGCTCCTCCTGAGCATCTTGCCCGACCAGCTTCGAAGAGATGTGATCGCCAACAGGAAGGTCACAACGGTCAGCATCCTTTTTCGACTTCATGTCCTTTTCCAGCCTGGAGGAGGTGCCGAACGAACTACACTTTTGAAGTGTTTGACGGAAGTGAAAACATCCAACAACATCCAGGACCTCTTGGTGACTACAAGGACCTGGCGACGATGGCTCCAGCGAGCAGAAGAGCTTCGTTTGACCCTGCCTGACCCGTTGATTCTCATGCAGGTGTTGGGGCGCATCATGGACTCCCTGTCGAAATTGGGAGGAAGTCAAGTGGCCTACCGGGTGTCTTCGGTGAGGCAGGAATTGCTGGTGGATCTGAGGCCCGAACTTCAGTCCATCAAAGATCTCAGTGAATACTTGCAGGCGGAGATGGAGGACCTGTCGCTTATGGTGGTGGCCCCAAAGACATCGGCTACAACATCATCGACTCCGTCTAGCCAGACCGCTGCACCGGTTGTGAAAGCACTGCACTCAAGCCAAGGCCAAGATGAGAAGCCGAGGTCGCCGTGCAGATTTTGGGGCTCTCAGTCTGGGTGTCGGAGGGGGGACACGTGTGGCTACGCGCACTCCTGGGATGGACTGGATCGTCAGCAAAGATGTTTCTTCTGTTCAGGAGAAGGTCACATGATGAAAGATTGTCCTCACCGTCAACAGAGGGGCACCAAGGATTTCAAAAAGAATGCCAAGGTGAAAGGCGTTGGTGAGGAGGTGTCGAAGGACAGTCCTACCAAGGAAACACAATACAGAAATTCTGAGGCTTCGGGAACTACATCGTCTCCGAGTTCATCGCTCTTGTCATCGCCAACGGTGTCTGGAGGTGGATCGGGAAAGAACGGTGGTGGCTCGCCGGAGAAGGAGTTGGGGGGGTGACCAAAAGTCAAAGGTTGACTCCGCTTCTGTCCTCCTTGATGAAGCAACAACTCTCCTCAAGACGCTCAGGACCCTGAAAGCGGTTCGCCTGAAACAGGTCTTTGTGGAGCCCGTGAACACAAGTCTTCAAGGTTTTGCACTCCTTGACGGAGGGGCAACACATGCCCTCCGAACTGCACACCCTGATGAAAGGAGCGAGATGACTCCCATCGAGGTTGAACTTGCTACAGGTACTACAGTTTTGTATCGCCATCCAAAGCACCGCACCCTTTTGTCCTTGGAGGAGGTGGAGCCGATCATCCCATTGGGGCTTCTGGTTGAACGGGGCTACAAGGTGGAGTGGCGAAAGACGGGTTGCAGTATCCGTCACCCAACACTCGGTGCGATCGACTGCTGGCTTCGATCTGGCTGCCCGATCATGCATCGTCAACCTGCTTTGGACATGCTCTCCCAGATCGAGCTCGAGGATCGGGGGGGAGGTGGCACTTTCTGAGGAGGACCGGCAGTGGTGGCAGAAGCATTTTCCTGAACTACCACATCCTGTTCTTCAACACATGGCTGGACAGAGCCAAGATCCAACTACAACGCCCTGGAACCGGAGAATTCGGAGGGCACACCTCACTGGAAAGGGGGGTCATTGTACACCTATTCAGTGGTCCTGATGTGAAGAAGAATTGTGTTGGCGGAGGAGCATACTCTTGGCTGTGCATTGACACGGAGATCAACTCCTCGTTGAACCTGCACAACCCGGCCGTTTGGGGCTATCTGTGGAAGCTGGCGTCTTTGGGACGCATCGTTGCAATTGTTGGAGGTCCTCCCTGCAGGACCGTGAGTCGCCTTCGAAACCGGTCACCACCAGGACCTCGTCGCCTTCGTGGTCGAGGAGAAGATCGCTGGTGCCTCAATGACCTCTCGGAGGAGGAACTTCGCCTGGTTCATGGCGATACAGCTTTGTGCATGAAGCACATGGGTCTATGGATCCGAGCTCAAGAATGCCGCAGAACATCGACGAATGTTGGCATGCTGTTGGAATCACCGCGAGATCCTGCTGAATATCTTGCTGGTGAAGAAGGTGGGCAAAGCGCTTCTTTCTGGTGCTTCCCGGAGCTGATGGCTTGGGTTGGAACTGCTGGCCTTCGTTTGGTCACTTTCGATCAAGGAAAGCTGGGTCACCAGAGGAAAAAACCTACGACAGTGCTGACTAACCTTCCTGCCTTCCAAGAACTACATGGCCTCCAAGGCGATGGTTGTGATGACAGACCACTCCCGTCGAACCTCGGTGACCGCATTCGCACTTCAAAGACCTGGGCAGCATGGGCACCAGGCCTTGTGGGAGCGATTCAAGAAGCTTTGAGGAGGTTGCTTGGCGTTTTGGAGGAGGAAAAGGGGGCTGGAGGTGGTCACCATGTCTCCAAAATGGACCTTGCAGCTTGGCATCGACACATCAAACAGGGTCACATCCCCTTTCGTGCTGACTGCCGCATTTGTGGGGAAGCTATGGGCTGCGACAAACCACACAAGAGGCTTGGGGGGAGCGCCACGAAGTTCACTATGTCAGCCGACCTTTGTGGACCGTTTCCTGAAGGGAAAGATTTGTGGGCACAGGAGTCATTTGCAAGTACGCACTGGTCTCAACTGTGGCCGTCCCCATCATCTCTGAGCTTCCAGGTGAGGTTACTGAGCCATGCGACACCGCCAAGGATGTGGAGCACACGGAGGAGATTCCCTGCGAGCCAGAAGACCGTGACCTAGTCCCTGAAGATGAAGTCCGGAGGCTCAATGAAATGGCTGAGATTGAGAAGTCTCAAGAACCGCAAGGACATCAAAATGTCACTGTGGCTGAAGTGATTCCTGATCGCACGGTGGAGTCACTGGTCCGTGCTTTGTCCCGCTTGCACGCCAAGTACCGCATGCTGGGCATCCAGGTCTACAGATTGCACACAGATCGTGAACGATCATTTGCTTCAGCACCAATTCAGAAGTGGTGTGAACAGCGACAGATTCGCTTGACTATGACGGCTGGCGATGATTCTAAGGCCAATGGCCGTGTTGAAGGAGAAGTGAACCAACTCAAGCGCCGCACCAGGTTGTTCCTTCATGATGCTGGACTACCTCACTCCTTCTGGCCAGTTGCCCTTCGCCATGCTTCCGAACAACGTGTTCGACTACAACTTGAACGACTTGGGCTGGAAAGTCCTCCTATGCTTCGCTTCGGAGCATCAGTTTTGGTCAAATCCAAACGATGGCATCGTGCAGGTCAGCTCTCTATGCCATACCGAACTATGCAACTCCTTGGTCCCTGCCCATACATGTCGCATGGCTGGATTGTCCGGGACAAGAAGGGCCAATTGTTGCACGTGCGCACTGCGCTTGAACCATCGCCGGTAGCCGATCAGGCGATCATGGAACTCCAAGAGGTGCCTGCCGTGAAGCATCGCATCACTGGAAAACACCCACCTCCACTACCTGACCATCCACTGGCTGGCCGCGTGGGAGCGCTCTATGAGGAGTCGGTTCCAGCTCTAGCAACTTGCAGAGCTGGGGGGGGAGGACTCTTTGGATTCTTTGGACTGGTCTTCATCGTTGGATGTTGGCAAGTCGCTTTCACTGGGGCTTGAGCCAAAGGGGGAGTT